ACATTTTCCAAAGTCAATAATTAACATCTTTGAATAGTTTCACTGGTATAAGAAGGATTATTTTCAAATTAGTCTTCATGCTACACAAAGCTGCTTTTTAGCCCAGTGTTTATAATGCTGAAGTGAAAATTGTTTTGATCTTTTTGCCTCTGCACAAAAAATGTTTAAGTGTATTTCAACTAATTTTGAATCATTCCTTTTGACTTTCCCTTTTAAAAAAGACAATAAAAGTGCTTAACAGAGAGGTGTAACCCAAAAATAATGGCTCTTAAATGGTTCTTCACAAGGCTCACTGCTTCTTCAAAGACATAGAACCCCTTTATATAGTGGGATGGTTCTTCACATACTTGTTGTAAAGTCCTAAGGGTTTTTCATCTTCATTTTCATTGGACTTATTTGATATGGTGTCAGGTAGTCTCGCTGAGCCGACTCATTCTGTAAAACACAATGGTCTGGATGATCCTGCTGTAGGAGAAAACGCTCTGGCTTGTTCGTATTTCTTTGAACCAATTACAACTGCCTCATTGGGCGCCAAGCCAAGGATGTGGTTTTGATGGTGTTTCTCCAAAACAGTGACGGGGGACTTGTTTTGGTGGAACATTTGCACGCAGGGAGGAGAGAACTGTGATTAAAATGGCTAATTCACAAAAACAAAACAAAACAAAGCAAAAACAAAAAGACCTACCAGGGCTGCTTTACTGCACAAACCAAATCCATGCACTTTTTTTTTAATGTGTAGGCTGCAAGTCCAGAGGTTGTTGTTAACATTGTTGTTTAACAAGGCAAACAGGATTTTGGAAACGGTAACATATTGTTAGCGTAAAGTGGAGGAGAAAGCTGGGTGATATCTGCAGCCTACATCTGGAGAGCCAGACTGAGGAGGTAACAGAATAAAATTAGAGCTGACCTAATGATTATTTTCCTTATTGATTAATCGTTTGGCATAAAATTTGAAGGTGATTCTAAATTGTCCGTAGGTGTGAATGTGAGTGTGCTTGGTTGTCTGTCTCTAAGTGTGGCCCTGCGATAGACTGGTGACCTGTCCAGGGTGTCCCCTGCCTTCGCCCTGAGTCAGCTGGGATAGACTCCAGCCCCCCCGTGACCCTAGTGAGGATTAAGCGGTGTATAGATAGTGGATGGATAAAATTTGAAGAATCTGTCTAACAGTCCAGAACCTAAAATACGATAATAAAAAGAACCAAGAGATGCTGCAAATTCCTAAATTTTAGTTTTTATTGCTTAAAAATAACCGAAACAATCATTAAGTCCGACTATCAAAATAAAACCAAGCAGGTTCACAAACACCTAACTAAAAAATGGTTGTGTAAAGAACACATTTTCGCTAAAGTTCTTTGAGAGTGATTTAAAAGAACAATTTTTTCATGGTTCTTTGAGGCTCCTTTGGGGGTCCTTTAAAGAAACTCTTCCTAAAACATTCTTGGAGGAACTAACAATGGTTCTTCTAAGGCATTACTGCAAAGAACCATTTTTGATCGCCGTTAGCACCTTTGTGCAGCACAAATATCCAACAAGTTTTTTTTTTGTGACTTTAGACACTTTCAGAGCCTCACCCAGTTTTCCACACTGTGATCAGACACACTGTTCAGTATCATTTAAGATTTACTTTAAGTGGGCATTTTTAGAAATATTATCTGTGTTTCACAAGTGAACGTCAGACTTAATAATTCCCCGAAATTTCTAAAAACTCTTTACCCTTTGAACTGAAAGATCTGTGTGTCTTGCCCCCTTTTTTCCACTAAGGCTATAAACATTTATAAAGGATGGAAAGTTGTTTGCTCAGAGAGTTACTGTCAGGTTAGATTTGAACCAGGTGTCCCACCTCTGCCAACCAAGTCAGATTAAGCTACTGTAACACCTTCCTTATGTTGTTTACCCTGGAAGTGCTCCCTCTCTCCCCACAGCTCTCATTCACATCTTGTGTGTAACTGCGCTGCCCACATCCGTTACAAATAATTTAAACCTCAGCCTCGATCTGATTGCACTTTGCATGCGCCGTCTCTCCTTTTTGTGTGCACCTTTGAGGATGGATGTTAAAGACAAGCTGGTTCTGGCCTGATGGCTGATATCACTGCCTCCCAAGATGATAATAAAAACCTGGTGCTTTCGAACCGCAGACCCTGGTTAGTGATTGCCCTTGTTAGATATCTTCCTTTTTGTTAGAGTCAGTAAATACGACTTGGAAGACTTGTTCAAGGGGTGATGTCACCGAGGCTGCCCGCATGAAAGGAGAGTGATAGCTGTGGTGGAGGAGAGAATATGCATGGAAGCAAGAGGGGGGTCTGTACTTTTCCACTCGGTGTATGTCATCACAAAGGCATGATCGGCCTGCTGGTCAAGTTTCAGTGCAGATAAGATTGGGGTTTTTTTTTGCTCTGGATCACAAAAGAAAAGATGAAGTTCAAAAAAATGGCAGATATGAAAGAAAAAGATCAAACTTTGCATGACATGTCAGGCCTGCATGGCGAACTGTGGACTGAGCAGTACACAAAAATCCTCTTGAGCAGCTAAATCCTTCAGCCTCCAAAGTTACTTTTATGGCTATAAGTGTGTTTGGTAAAATGAAACATGATGTAACATAAAGTCTTTGGCAACATTTTAAAGCAACAAAAGCGTATTTATAGCTAACAGGCTATTGAGAAGGTCGTTTTCTGTGCTGAAATCTGCGAATGACAATGAGGCACACAGTCCAAATGGCAGCGGGGGGCACAGTGCCAGTGAAATTGTGAACTCATATATTTGCACTAATGCTTATCTGCTGATCTAAACAGCTTTAAAATTCATTTGTTCTGAGCTCATGGCTTCGAACCCACATCTTGACAATGACCTAGTCTGTCTCAGACGGCTCGCCTGTGGGCATTTTCAGCCGCTGAATGGAAGTGAAATGATTTGTGCTTGGACAGAACAATACGACATCTGCAGTTTATGGACAAAGGGTAATATAAACACATTATGAAAGACACATTTTCAGCATTTATTACGTTGTGTCCACATGGGTTTTGCCCACCCCAGATCTCTTGGAATGGGTTGCAACATTGTTTATGACATAACTTCAATCGAATCCTCTTAAAACCATGAA